ATCATCATCATCATCATCATCATTAACAGATATAAACCATCATCAATAAATATTATCTCTGCACAGAACGCATGTCGACATTCAACCCTTATTTCTTGAGTGTAGCAAATAAAAAAAATTATATGTGCTAATTTGTTTTTTTTTTTAAATCAATTTTCAATTGCCCTTAGAGTACGACTCATATTTGACACAGCTSAGAATGCAGATTGCATTGGTCCAAGCACCAATGACATCCAATTTGCAGCAAATGAAGACAACAAAACTATAACAGTCTGTACAGTGGTGGATGACAGACTGATAGAAGACGACGAGACTTTCAATGTAACGATATCAGGACTGTCTTCAAGCAATGTTGAGAGTGGGAAATCTGAAAGAACTGTCAAACTGATAAGTGATGATGGTATGAAAAACAATAATATTTATATCATATTCAGTATGCTTTTTTCTTACTTTTTTAAAAAATCTTTTAAATGCTCCAACTATTCAATAGATCACTCTGTATTTCACTTTATAGAACGAGGCATGTCATAATAACAATCGATTAGTCTGTATATTTGACTTTATATAACGAGAAATGTCATAATAACGAACCATAAGTATGTATTTGATTTATRAAACGAGACTCCATAGAAGGAGATTATGAGGATATCTTGAGCTGCATATTGACGAAATGACATCCGGTGAGACGGATCGTCAAAGGTTATGACTACCCGTCACGATCCGTCACAATCGACCCGTCACGATCCGTCATGATTTCAAAGGGGGTCTCACTGACCACAGGAAACCCAATTTAAACGATAATGTGCATTCCTGTTGATTTGCATATAAACGAAATGACTTCCGGTTAGATGGATCGTCAATACCACAGGAATCCAAATGCTAGACCAACTCTAGATGTAAATCGCTGAAATGGGCATCCAGTGGTCTTTCACGAAATGACTTCCGGTTAGATGGATCGCCAATTCTTCATGACAATCCGTCTCATTTCGTGTGTATTGGACTCAAATAACATCGTAAGACAAAAATGTAATTTAGAAAAAAATGTCCTTGATTGGAAAGTGTGCTATAAAACACAATCATTATTACTCTAAGGGGAAAATGAAACAACAACAGTTAACAGATATTTTTGTTTTTTTTCGACTTTGTTTTCCTTCGATAAAATAATCCGACTTCGTAATATACATTTTGCGCTTTTCGAGKGAATGTATTTTGGAATAAGCCTTAATATTTCTYTTCAGTGAATGTTACATGTCAAGGKGCGTCGTTGAAAGAAGCCAATGGTCCTGCTACTATGAGACTGGACAGAACTGGAGCAACCGCAGTCACTGCTAACAATATCTSGTACGTACACAGTTATGAACTAATTCTATCAGGTTTTTGTAGTTCGAAATAACGTGCATTCTGGTGTAGCTGCAAACACCATCATATAAGGCATGACTAACTCAAGCTAGACTACAATGCACCATGTCTACAATCTCAGAAATGTCGCTCTTGGCCTTATTATGTTGCTGTATATTTTAAATATTTTTGTTTTCATTTTCTTTAGGTGCAGCACTGCCGACGGTACGGCTTTAAGCCCGTGCGACTACACATCTCAATCTTCAGCCACAGTCTCATTTGCACTCAATCAATTGAYTAAAAACTTTTCTGTGGTTGTTAGAAATAACAGAGTAGTCGAGACAAATGAGAGTTTTACAGTTACTTGTAACACTTCTGACGCACGAGTGGTTGTTGATCCGTCCTGCATTGGTATACAGATAAATATCATAAACGATGACAGTAAGTATTGCTCGGTATCTTAGCACAAAATCAAGACACATCTTGTGTTCAAGGTAATCCAAAGAACGATATTGAAGAAATAGAAAACGCGCAGCCCTGCTGTGCGCATTTATAAGG